ATTTGTAAGGAAGGTTAGAGTAAGTTATAATTAGTACTTGCTGCCCTGACAACTAATTAAATGGAATAAAAAGCTTTCAGTGGGTTTAATTCTACCATGGTGTAATTACAGCTGAGTTTTGAATGCACGGTGCATGTATTATAGGTTTTGGTATGTGCCCCCCACTTTCTGTGACCTAAATCTTCAGGTTAAACCCATCATATGATTAGTGAGTGGGCACTGTCGAAGACAACCATTTCAGACCTAAATACAAATCAACACCAATCCAGTCCTGTGCATTTTTAGAGGCACTACATCACCCTGTAGATGTGAGGGTGGAAGTAAGGGAGAAACAGGCAGCCAATTGCTTGCTTCCCCATTCTTCCTTTTCCCTTCAGGAGGCACCCTTGCCCAAATTGTTCCATTCACAAAGCTCCCACTGCTCTGAGCCCTTTTCATACTTTTTATAAAGAAAAACATGGCTGAGATTTCAAACCCACTTCCAACCCCATCCCTTCAGCAGTCTGAGGGGCTTCCTAGGTACAGAAGAACCTTGTACAACTGCCCTGTTTGCATGCCTTTGGAGCTGTCTCTATTCCTCAAGAAGCCAGAGCTAAACCATACCACACTAAGGGGAGTAAGGATGATTGCTCAGGAGGCCTAGAGCAGGGCAAAAGTGATGATGGAAACCATGTAATGCTTCAGCACATAGTTGATATAATTCCTTACTCTCAAGTATCTGGAAGAGCTATGAACACTTAAAAAAAAGGTGAAAAGCAGCCAGGCTTTAGATCAGCCAGGATGTTGGTAGTAACAGCTCTGGATAGTCAGTTGTGCCCACTGCATTCTTCACACCAATACACATACTCCTCATTGCTTGCCCCATCCCTGGAAACATTCGAGGACAGGCTGGACAGGGGTCTCAGCAACCTGATCTAGTTGAAGATGTCCCAGCTCATTGCAGGGGGCTTGGAACTAGATGACCTTTAAAGGTCCCTTCCAACCCAAACTGTTCTATGATTCTATGTAATGTAGGTACATTAAGCCCCCAAAATAAAGACATAATTAATTGAACAAAAATATAGCCTAAGAGAACCAATTAAAATGATGAAAATCTTTAATTTTATTTAAGTATAATTGTACGGACACGTGTATATACAAATACAGATTTTATGGGGCGGGGATTTTCAGTGTTTTTTGTTGGGGTTTTTGTCTTGTTTTGTTTTAACATTATCTCTTGAGATCATATAATGTAAGCATTTCAAAACCAGCACTCAATGAATAAGTGCAAAGAAACTGCAAAGCAGGGCAGTACAAGCACAGGACCACACTGAGCTGGACTTTCATACCCAGATGCATACACAATGAGTGTCTTCAATGGGGTGTCAAGAGTAAGCATGGAAAGCAGATTTCACAGACTCATGGGTAACCTCCAACATGCCAGCATCTATTAAACTGTTCAGACAACGGCAGCAAGCCTATTGTAGGGAGATTTGTCTCACATCCGAGAAGCTCGAGGGTGAATGCATGGGAAAAACTCAGTGATGCCAGACCAGAAACAGATCTGCCCATTCATAGCTCCAAATTAAAAAAGGAGAAGGGTGGGAGAGGACGAAAGGCAGGAAAAGGGAAGAGAAGTGTGTAGGGTTGTACATTAAAACTGGTGATTACAAAATCCAAGCATAATGAAAGGAGGGGAAGAGTTAACACTCTAAGCCTCTGAAAGCAAATAAATCATTGCTCTCACAAGGCAATGGATTAAGCTCAGTTTTGAGGACTAGGGGTGGGAATCAACAGGTACAAATACAACCATTTTCCTTCCACAATTATATAGGAGAGGAAACAATCTACTTCACCTACTCTCAGTACCTCCCAAATTTGTTTCTAGTTCTTTTGGAACCAAATACATACATACACCACACATGACACTAACAAGTTCCTTTCTGGAAAAAACTATTAATGGAAACAAAACCAGAAGGAAAATGAAAAAAAAACCCCAAACAACAAAACAAAACAAACACACACACAGACACACCCCCCAAATACCAGAAACAACAGAAAAAAGAATCAATAAAAAACCCCAAACAAACAAACAAAAAAAAAACCAGAAGAATTTCTATATCCCCAAAACCCTTTTGAAACAAAAATGATACAAAAGAACAAAAAAATAACACAGAAACCACAGGGCTTTGACATCAGACCTTTAAACACTTAGGACAAAATATTGGTCATCAAGTCACATTGTTCCAGGTCTTGACATTGTGAAGTCTTGCACTAGATGAATGATTTTCAAAGATGAGTCTTGTATGCTGCAGTGTCATGGCCACTTGTCTTTCAGTACTCAGCCATGATCACACTTGATGCTTCAAAGCTCTGTCTTGTAATCAATGCATGATTTTAATATCCTGAAAGTCTATTGTTCTCACTTACAAAAGACATAAGAATCAAATTAATACTTTATTATCAAACACTATATACAACAGAGGTTACTAATAATACAGAATTTAAAGAACATAGCTTTAAGTTCTACTTGTCTTTCCTTCACCATCCAAGTAAGTACAGTACAAAACAATACTCTAAACTAACACGAAATGTTACTTTGTCTACTAAAGGATACACGGTATCCACTGAACTGACCTATCCCTATTTTCCCTGCTTCACATTGCAATGTCCTTGGCAGCCAGGAGTACAGGTCTTGGAGATAACTAAGCCACCTAGGCTGAGGGAGAATCAGTCCCTCAGACTCGAGCTGGGGCAGATAAAGGGGAAAGGAGCAGAAATCTCCACTAATTTGCACCAACATGTGCATTTAAAGCATACAGAGATATGAAATGCAACACAAAGCTCATCAGCATTTATGTACTTGGTATGACTGGGATTGTCTGATGCCACTGAGTACGAAACTGACAGTGTTTGGTATGCTGGAAGCCACACCATGTCAGGCAGCCCAGGGATCTGCCCTGCATTACTCACGGTGTTCCTCACCTACCTTACAGGGTTCTGTGATAAAACAAAGGAGTGATTTTCACTAGGAGCACGACAGTGACAATCCTTTGCTGTAGATAAACATATGTCTTGAACTCTAACATCATCCAGAGGCAAAGAATGAAAAATGAAGTCGTCATTTCTACATTAAATTGGCACTACCAGTATGACTGCCTGCAATTGCTAATGAACAATTTTAATATGGTTACCAGTAATGTAATATTATCTGTACTCTGGTTAATAACCCATTTGATAAGGTGTATTTTGATTAAGCTTACCACATCCAAAGCGTTTTAATTCCTACCTACTGGAGATACTAGTGTGTGTACCGTTCACATCCACATTAAAGAGAGAAACGTACCAGACAGCCCGTAATGAGATGACTTCCCATACTGTTTAGACTGCATATAATCTTACTGCATGTGCTTTATACTAGAGGAAATTTCCTACGTTCCTCCTGTAAGCACAGGCCCTATACTAATGTTGTACAATATCAGGCAAGCCCAGATCATAGTTTAGCACTCACAAACCTCCCTTTACTTCTTAAATTTATTTCCCCCTTTTCTTCTCTTTTGGGTAGTGGGCTGCTTCAACTTCTGAAAAGCTTTTCTCCATTAAAAAGAAAAAAGCCCACAAAGTGCTGTCCATTAATGGTATCACTCAATTTTGTTATAGCAGACTTCAGAATTAATATAGAAAACTCTGATTTTGCTGGAACCTGGTTCATGTTTTTTTTACTCATTTAACATAATTATCACAGTTTTTGTTAGAAAAGCTTTGTTTCAGTCTTGGTGTGATATTTGTTAGATTATGCAGTCCAAGTTTCACGTCAGCCTAGCCAAAAAATATCCCAAGGCTTGCACTTCCTGGCAAATGACTTTTTAAAGTTCTGTGTTAGCCAAGGCTCAGATTCCTTAAACAGGGTCACTCCTAATTCCATCAAACAAGACAGTCCCATTTCCTAATTGAATCAAGGGTTACCACTTCTCTCACATGTTTAAATAGGACAAGCATATATACTTACTCTCAGCATAAAGTATATCTAAATAATGCATATTCTATTCTAGTGGATTTTTAAAAAAATATTTTGTTAAGTCTTTGGGAGCCCATCTAGTTTATCTCTGGCTGATAAACACGTTTCCTTTACTCTTCAAACTGTGCTGGAAGGGGAAAAGATAAAAAATCAACACTTGAATTCATAGTAAACGCTTCTTTTCTTTCCTCCCACCAAACAATGCTATTACTGTCCTGGCTTCTTCTACATGTGGTTTGTTCTCATGATTGAGGGACTTGCAGGAGAGACAAATCAAGAACGCACTGGATATCCTGTGTCACGAACACGTTTTCTCAGGCCACTTACATCCTCTCTTAGCATGTATTGACACCCAGAGCAGCATCCAAGGCTATCAGCTACTAAGTCAGTGCTGGGGAAGGTCACTTTATTCTCAAAAGTGCCTCTGCATTTCAAGAAAAAAATCATAGCACCACGGTGATTTGTTTTAAAATAAAATAATCCGGTGTGCAATATCCCCTTAAAACGAAATAACAGAGGCACTCATACCCCCAGTGAAGTTTCCTAAATCCAACCTTGCCTTCTGTGTGCCAACATTCCTAAGTATGAACTTCTTCGTCTCACCAAATGACAGCATTTCTACTCTTGAGCGCAAACTCTACTGTCAAAGATGTTTCAGGACAGTCCTATAAGAAACACAGTCTTTCCCAGTCAGAAGCCTGTTCACTTGGAAACTCCTGAAGGAAATGGTGCTATATTATATCTATTCTTAATATTTCCCTTCCAGTCCTGACATGGTGACACAATGCCTTGCATGATCATCTTACACTGCTGAATGAGAAGGCCTAAATATTGTATCAGAGAAAAACTCTCCCAGGCTTTAACTCACTTTCCTTATCCTTCACTGACTGCATTTCCCACTGTTCTTCCTTGTCCACATATGGATGACACAGTGAGCTAACAGAGGTGACTTCTTAAAGGAGAATGCAGAGGAAAATAAGAATCACTAGTGTCACTATCATAGTTTGGCATTTTCATTTGGAGTCCTTTTATTTATATGGAGGGGTTAAGAAAGTCAAGGGTAGGTAGGGGTGGGTGCTGAAGCTAGTTATCCCCTTCAAATTTTTGCTGAGTTCAGGCTAAAGGGAGAAGAAAAGGGAAAAGGGAAAAATAACAATTTGACATCTGCAAAAACAATAAAGTCCCTTTCCTGGGATGATGAGTTAGGTGGATCTTTGATGTTCCAAGACCCTCGTATTTTCTGTGACAGGTTACCGGAGCATACTGTGCTATAATATCAAAAGCATTGCCAAGAGGAACAATAGAGTTGCCAAAAGCCGGCTCGGTATCCTTGGTGTCTGTGCTGCGTTCTCACCACGGGATGGTTCAGCTGACTCATGTACGGTATCATCTGTTCAAACACAAAGCATACATTCCAATGAGATTTTGCATCCTTAATAAACTCTCACTGAGCTGACAACTCTAAGTAGATTTCAGTGCCTTTATGAAATTGGGCAATGAACCTTGTGCTGTCATTGACTTTCACAAGCATGTAATACCTCATTATGTAACCAACCTGGGGCCAAGTCCTGCATTTCTTACTGGCAAAACTCCCATTGAAGACCAGAGGAGCAGAAAGGAAGTCTGATTTTGGCATGTTGAGGAATGAATGATTCCTCTTCTAATAAAACACTGTAGCTCTAGGTTTGGATGGCTTATTAGATAGCAATGTCAATAGGGAGGCAGCTAAATAAAAGCACCTGATTTTCAAAAGGCTTTGAAGAAGAGCTGCACATGCTCAGAATTAATTTCACAGTTAATCCCCTTACCGAGTTACAGATTTTGGGTCCTGAATTAGAAGTAACAGCCTGCAAGCCCAGGCATATATTCCACTTCCACACATGAAATTTACACTGAAGTGTACCACATCTGGGGATGTAGAGGGGGCATAAGATCAGTCTCCCTTTCGCAAAAGAGAATTTTAAGGGCTAACAATTGATTATCTCCAATTTTATAGAGCATACTAAATCTGGAAAACCTCGCAGGTAACAGACTACCTTTTATGGTACGGGGGGGGGGGCCCCCCCCCCGATTTATGTATACACTGCTAAAAATAATGTAAAAAAGAACAGCTGAGTTAGGTAAACATACATTAGTGGCAGAAGAGAACACAATAGCGAATACTAAATTTATGATACCAAATAAAGCTCTGTTTAGCTTTTACTAACCAAAGATCAGTCTTAAAGCTACAGCTTGTAACATAATTGGTAGGTGAAGTAAAATTCAACTTCAGTGCTGTTACAGGTATGATATTTTCCTCTGCAAAGTCTTCCATATCCACAGTTATCTAATTTGACTATTTACAAAGTAATCTGTCTGAAACTTGCCATAAAAAATCACCTCTGGATTTGTATGTTCTTAGTACCAAATAAATTAAATAAGCTAAACCTGTTTAGGAAGTATGAAGTGGTCTCAAAATTTATTCTTGAGTTATTTTAGAGTGCCTAAGTTTCCAGGAAGATTAATAGTATCTCACTACTTAGTGTAATAAACTCCCCCATTTTGTGAGGTATGTTGACATATCTGTGATGTATCTGTCCCATAGCTCCCATCTCAACAAACTGCACTGCTAGAATGGCCCTGGGTGAGAGCTTTGCAAGTCTGGTTAAAGGCTTGAGTAAGGACACTCGGTGTGAGTGTCAAACACTTGAGACATGGGATCACCATGCTGCTTTGGCGTGGAGCTTTCCACGTTGCTTTGCTTTAACTAGAAACAAGATCCCTTCTTTCATAACGTTGAGACCTAGCACTAAAGCAGGTAGAGCACTTAGCACAATTTATGTTAATAGGCTCTTCAGCCCCAGTTCAGTTACACAGAAAGAGCAATTTGGATTAGCAATTTATCACAGGTTTTTTTCTCAGTCCAAACTGATGCTACGATCACATTAAGCTTACCAACAGTTCTTCAGGGCTGCTCAAGGCAAAAGTATGAAAAGCAAGCACTGATCAGCTGTAAATATATTCACATTTGTAAGAAAAGGACATCATCAGAGGGCAGTCCCACTGATGACAGTGGGAGAGGTTGGCTGGAGTGACTTTGGTTACAGCTCTTCACCATGTATGGCAGGGAGACCTTACCAGGCACTTCAGCCTTGAGCAAGGCCCCTTCAGTGAATGCTGGCTACTGAAATGTTCCAGTTCCAGCGGCTGTGAGTACCAAAAGCTGTCTCACATTTCACTTCTGAATTACACTTCTGTGCTTTGGTGACAGTGCAATGAGAGTGCAGTATTTCACAAAAGCAGGTCCTAATTAAATCATACTCTAAGAAGTTATGAGGAAAAAATATCCCTATTGTAACTGTTAACTCTTCTTTCATATATATATATATATAGTCAGTTCTTCCTGATTTGGAAACATTTACTCACTGCTGATGAACTAAAACTGCAGAGGAGAATGATGTGCACTACCTTCTACCTCTTGCATCACCAACAGAATTGCAAATAAGCCTGAATTTGCAATGTCGAATGTCAACGTTTTTGTCCTAATTGCATTCATGAGTCAGCACTAAAACACAATAGAGCAAAACTAGTGTAAAGCAGTAATAAGTTCTCATTCACTTTGACTATCAGATACTGCAATGACAGGAACATGGGCTACTGTTTAAAAAAAATTAACAAAAGATTACTTATTTTACATGAAAAATATGGAGATCTTCTGTGGTGCCATTTTTATAAAGCCATTCTTCATAGAGGAATTAATTTTTATGTAACATTAATGGGTTCCTTTCAAGAAATCATCTGGGTTTTCTGTCAGCACAGTCCCAAGGTTTCTGCACTTGTACATTAGAGCACTTGGTTAATCTGTGTTCTCAAAATCATATACAAATATGATTTTCCTTGGAGGTGCAGAGTTGTAACACTGCACAATCTTTAATGCTTGGGGAAAAGGTATTGCTTTATTTTTAACACTGAAGGCAAGTGATGAAGGGTACAAAATTTGTGCTTAAAATCTGGAAGGTCACTGCTGAAGACTAGGAATGCAGCAGAAATTAGAAAAAAGTTTTTCAACTACCATGAATTTTCTTGATCACATACCTTTACATCATATGCTTCAGGTATAGATTTTCCAGGTATGCACAGCTGCAATTATTGTTTAGTGATATTTTATTTTTATTATTAAGGATGAAGAGAGGGGGAGGACAGGAATAGGTCAATGACTTTTAATCTCTTCTGAAACAAGTGTGATCTCTATAGACCATTTTCATATAAATTCCTGAACTGACCAATGTAATTACAAGTGTTCAAAAATTACACAAATTGTGATTCTTAAAAGAAAGGTGATAGTAAGTAATATGCTGAACATGACCCTCTTGCCTCCCAGTTCTTCTGTCTACTGTGGAAGACAGTGGCAGGCTAGGGGAGAGCACAGAAGCAGAAGATGCATGTCGGGAGCAGGTAAATTAGTACATGACACAGATCACATGCAACAGGGTCCACCAAGGTAGTGGCAAGTCTAATGGCCTAATAATAGAAAAGTGTGACAGCTGTTGGCAGATCTAGGAACAACTGATTATCTAATGGTGACTGGTCCAAATAATGCAAATATATACTGATGTCAAGAGTGGAAACTTTCTGCTATCAAACCTTCTCATTAAATCTATTATTTCCCACTGGTAACAAAAGCAGTATTTCATCTCAGACTGCAAGGTGCTCTTTGGATTAATTTTGTTTGCTGGTTTGCCTACTGCTTTCTAACAATATGATTTTGTGATGGTGCTAGTTAGGTATAGCCATTCAATGGGAAGAGAGCAGCACTGCTGTAAGAAAAACGTTTAACAAGTTCGCTAAAATCAGGCATATAATACTCACATAATCTCTTTTGCAAACCAGTAGCAGAAGAAATGCACATTAATTTGTCCAAGTTCACCAAATCACAAAACATACAGAAGTGAATTGAATTCCTAGATTCATAGGTTACTTAGAGTAGTGAAAAATCATCCTAATGCTTTCTGTAGAAGAATTCTCTTAAGCAATGTACAAATATATCTTAATATAAATGCACTCTCCTTGCATCTAACTTTGCTTAGATAACATCTTTGATTCTAAAACCTGAATTTTTTAGGAGAGTCCCAAAAATTCTCTTAAAAGAAAAGTAATAAAATCTATTGTGTACCCATAGGTAAATCATTCAAACTGGATGACTTGTGGAAGCATTATTTATACTTCTGTATCAATAATGACTTTTAAGTAAAGAAAATGCAAATAACAAAGAGAAAAAAAGAATATGTTGCTTCATACCAAAGAGGAAGTCTCTTTCAAATAGCATAAGAAGGGGAAAAAAAAAAAAGAGATACTGGTAATCTGTTTGTCATGGTATGTACTAAATGGTATGTGTGCAATTCTTTTCTGGTATATTTTGTTTGGTTTTTTTTTAACTATGTATATTAATTATTAAGGCTTGAATAAAATGTGTGAGTAATGTGTAGGTACATATAAAATGAACAGTTAGTACTACTATTGCAAATATTCTTCCTACATATACACCTAATTTTGATGTCATGAGCCATCCCATTCAACTTGGTGGGATTACTCACACCCCTAGAACTAAAAATGCTTCTATCTGTCATAAATCTGAGCTATGCAAACCATATACATGCACTTTTCACACAGGAAACAGATTAGCTTGTGACAGTGGAGGTTAATGTAAATTTGCCCTAGGCTATTGAACGGCTTTATCATAGCAAGAATTATTCTTATCCCTAAGGCAGTGTTTTGCAAAAAAAAAAAAGGACAAAAAAGCCACCCAAAACTTACGTTTGTTTCACTAAAAACAGGATAGGAATTTATAGCTATTGAGTGTGTGTGTTTGTGTGCATACATGTAAAAAATTATGCTTTGCCTAACCAAATATATATGCAAATTTATATAATTTTAAAGGACTAATTGCTTACTTACACGGTCAGACGCACACCTATTTCATACACTAGCATGAAATAAGGAGTGGTTCTGTTTTTCTGAAAGTCTTTTGAAAGCACATAATAAATGAAGCTGTGCCCATTGACTATTCCTAAAACTTTGGGCTCAGTTAGTAAATAGAGTTTTGCCTGGGGTTTTGGCTTGAATGGGCCAGTGACCTCAGATATTGGAAAAAATTTTTACACTGGCACATACCATATTTTATTAAACCACATCACCCAAAAAAACAAATCAAGCAACACTTTCCTCCCCTGCATTAAACAACGATACAGGAAAGCATAAGCAATATTAGCACTGCTAGAAATGTTCAAAAGCGGAGCAGTTGTACCATGCAAAGCATGCAGAGAGAAGACGAAAAAAAGTACTGAAGCACCAGAGGGATACACGCATTTGTTAAAAGAGATTCTCTAAGCATACTAACCTGCTGGTTCTAATGAATTTTCTACTTTGTCGTTAACATCGAAAACACGATCATGAACACCTATAGTTTTCATACAGCTGTCTATAACAAAAATAGAGATAACAGCCAAATATGTTAGTGAGACACCCTTAAACTCCCCACTTTCCTGTTTTCCTCTCTTTTGTCTCTCTATTTAGTATATATAGCTAAGCATATTTGTATTTTAAAGTCTGTGGCACTTGACCAAATGCCAGTATAGCCTTTCACTTGCACAACAGTCTAAGAATCAACAAGTTAGCAACTGTTGTATAATTAAAACAAAGCTTTATGAAAAATGATAAGAAAATACAATGGAAATCATAGCACAGATGTTGCTGTACAGAACAGGTACAAAAGATTTAACAGTAAAATAAGATTTACTGCTGTTTACTAGAGCACACAGTAAAGCATGCGCTACAAAGCTACCCTCAGAAACTTAATCTGAAGAACTTACTTGCTGGTCGCACAAAGACCTTAAGCTTTAGACAGGATCTCCTTCCATTACCTGGGATTGCAGAAGCTGTAAATGGGAAAGAAGGAAAGATATGGAAAAGTAAGAAAGTGAAAATTAGAATCATTTTTTTTGTGCTAAAATAAAATATCCTTTACCTCCCCATCATCTTAAGGGCTGCAGACGTTTCAGACTCTGGTGGTAAGGACTTCGAGTGCACAAAGTATTTTGATTATGAAAAGCAGGGAAAGAACTGCATAATTTATTCTAATCCCTTTTTTGATTATTTTACATGGAAGAAGTGAAGCACATGGTATTTTCAATGTTTCATTATCTGCTTTCACCTCTCCACACGTTTTTCTCAAGAGGTTGTTTTAATATGGTTTCTGCTGTAATGCAGGTGTCTGCTCTTAAAAATTACACTTCAAAATAATTAAGATCACTTACAGAAAAGCTAGTCTTGGTTTGAGCAATCTAAAAAGGGATGAAAAATCAAAGGGACACTGAAGGTGACAATGTTAAAAATAGAACTATGTATATACTCCCAACAAAAGTAGAAATATATGCCACTAGATTAATATGTCAAAGTCAGCCTCTGTATGTTCCAATACATCTGCCTTTGTTGAGAAAAGACTTACATTGCTTCGGTCAAAACATGATTCCCCATGTTCCATTAACTAACAAATCAAAACCAGTTTATTCCTTCTTTCTGTCCTACCTCATAATTGCTCATTCAAAGCTTTTCATTATAAGAGTACTTACTGAAAAAAAGGTGAAAACATAATGTCTAATGCAAAAGATCATACACATAAGACTAGTGTCAGCACCTAGTTATTTCCCAGGAATACATGCTGCTGAGAAAACTTCCTTTCTAGAACTATGCTTGCCTCAAAAGGCATGATTATAGAGAGATGTGCCTGCATGTCACCACAGACTGGATTCCCTAGTGTATTATCTGCCAATCTGAACACACTGGTAACTTTCACCAGTGTCTGCAATTTTGAAATTGTACATTGGCATCCAAGAAACTTGACCTGGGCATCCAGATTTTCACTTCTGAAAAACTGTCCACATCCATGTTTTTTTTACCCTTGCAAAAAACCTCAAAAGCTATGGCTGAAAATGTTGCCTGCAGCACTACAAAGTAAATTGTTTCGTTACACAGTCTTCCCCATAACTAAAAAAGTTATGTATTAAGGCAGAATAAGTTGCTTTTTGTAGCAAATGGCAACTATTGGAGACTGTTATGATTTACAAAAGATAATTGGACTGGCAAGATGTTAGCTTGTTCTGTTTATCACTGTTTCATCCATTTTTCCTTGATTTTGTCCAGTTTGGGACAAATAACAAATAAAATGTTTTTTTGCACAGACATGAATCTCGTATCTTCATGCTCATCTTACACTTGAAGGGGCTCCTCAACCAGCTAGAAATAAATTCCCTTCATCTTTGATGACGTGCTTCCAAGACAGATGTCAACTTTTTCCCAGAAAAAACTTGACAAGAACTAGAAAATTCAGTACAAACACAAAAAAAGGAGCAAAGTAAAGAGTCCAGTAGAGCTAATGCCGTGGGTCTGCACCTGTTGGGAAGTGCTTGAAAAATTGCTTCCCTCTTTTAATCAAAAGACAAAAGCGTGTAGAAATGATATTCCCCCTTCAAAACAACAAGCAGTTAAGAAGTGTTAACAGCTGGCTTTGCTATAGGCTCTTACTAAATCAAAATCAGAAAAGCTCTCTTTAATGACATTTACAGTAACTGGTGTGTTATTTAGGGCACAATATTTGCACTCTGTGGTTATATTCAGGAAATTGTGTCCTTTCTGTGGTTCTGATCGAATATATGCAACTGGCTAAATACTTTGCTCAGACTAAACAGACATCTTGAAAGATAAGAATTATATAGTCATTACCATATTACTAGCATAAAGGTAGAAATAACATTTCCAACATTAGCAAAAATAGAGTCCCTACAGTAATTTTATCACTAACAGATTCTTCTGTTCAGAAATTATTTCAGAAGTGCATCATGAAACACACTTATTTAAAGTGAAGTTTTAGCTTTGATGCTTACATGCTGTTGTTAATGTCCGTAAGATAAGCATGCTTTGCTCAGTGCTGTTTATTAGAATACTCTGTTAGTCAGTAACTAACAAGGATACCACCGACTAGCTAAGACAGCAAGGAGATAATAAATTCTGTCTGGAAAACCAGAAAATTAATGTTCTCTACATTTAAGTTTATATGTGTACATAATATTTGCACACATTAAAGAGCAAACAGTCCTAGTGATTGGCCATGGTAAATACTCTATCCCCAGCAATGTTCAAGGCCAGGCTGGACAGAGTCTTGGGCAACATGGTCTAGTATAAGGCTCCCCTGTCCATGGGCCTAGGGAAGTTGGAACTAGACGATCTTAAGGTCCTTTCCAACCCTAACTATTCTATGAGTCCATGTTTTTTGGAACGAAAACTCTAAAAACCGTTCCCTACTTAAATTTTTTCCAGCAGTCCTCTGGTTTGCAGTTACCATGAACTGCAGTCCTATTGCAACCATAACACTTGCATTTAAATCATCATCCCAGAAATGGACAGTTTTAGCAGTAAGTAAGAAAAGGTGCTTTTTACCTTTCTAGGAAAACTATGTATTGTCAATGTTTGCAATAAACCCAGAGAGATTCCTATTTAATATTTTTTTTACTCTCTCAGAAGGAATAATAATGAATTAAAAAAAAAAAAAACACACCAAAAAAAAACCAAAACCAAGTGACATATTGTTCTGCTATCTCTACCTCAACAACCAAGACTGAGGCTGATATAGGAATACATTGCAATCTCTTCCGCCTTCCTGAGAAGTTAACTATTTGCTAAGATGCATGACTGCAATCGCTTTTAATTCCTTTCTCCTTCTCCCTCCCTCCCTTTCTTCTTTTCATATTAAAAGAAAAAGCAAAGACCAATTATAGTTTTTCCCTTAAGATCAGATATATTACCCACAGAGAAGAGTCACGAAAGGCAAAAGATTGCTTCCCTTTGTTAGCTGGGATCTGCTAAAAGTTGCTTCCCAGGTTAAACATTGCTGTTGTTACATTCCACTGAAATGAGCTATAGTATAAGAAAAGATGGTCTTTCTAGGACATACTAAGAGAAACTTCATTCTCCTTTCTGCACAAAACCAGGCAAGCCCCTAAGGCTTTGGTATAAGACTTTTGCATTTGCCCATTTTAAAGGTGATATTAGCTGTAAAGTAGAGGCTAGTTCTGGGAGCAGGAGGTCTCTGATGTTAATGGAACCCATACCTTGAAACATATTCCATTTCAAAAGCCAAAATTCCCAAGGGAAAGAAAGGTAGTTGAAACCCTGCTGTAAAACAACAAGAAAAAAAACCCAAACAAAACAAAAAAACCAAAACCCACCTTTGAAAAAAAGATCTCTTATAGTGAGCAAAAGAGGTTATATCCTCTATTTTTTTCCCACGAATGATATTAGAATAGAAAAGGCTTGACTGTTTAGTCTGTGTCAGGAAGAATCATAGTGAAAAACAGAATAGGTACTCTTCAGTGTTACTAGTTCTTATATGTCATCACAATTCCTATGATGCTTCACTCCTCCCTGGCTCTACCTCAGCTTTACCAGCAACTTCATGACAATTTCCTGGCTCTCCCTTTTAAGGAATATGTTTCAGACTTTACAGTTACACAAAGACTTGGGGTTAGAGGGAAGTGTACACCAAAATCCCTCTGAAATTACAAGATACATGAAAATACCTCAGTGATTATAAACATAACTGGTTTGGTGCCTCTTTTTTTTTTGTTAATAGGAAAATTACATGATTTAGAAGAAATTCAAGTAATGATGTGTGTACTTATGAGGTGAATATTCTGCCTCCATTAGCTGAACTACAAAAAAAACCCCTTGCAATGAGCTACTTCACATAGGACTAGATTTAAGCTGGATCCAAAAATGGACCGTTAACACCAAATTAGATAAGAAAATGTGTCTTTTCTGAACTACTTCCTCTGTAAACAAAGGGGAGTGAAGAAAATTGATCTCATCTAGAATCAAACCATAAATATTTCAGTATTTGCTGCCTATATTTAAACATTGGGGGAGGAGGGGAGGGGGAAAAATCCAGCTCCTTTTATCCCACTCTTAAGCAGTTCTCTGCTAGAAAACACAAGGTACAGTATTAATATATCATATAAAAAACAGGTTAGGTCCTTCCTCAGACTGATAAGGTTTAGCAGGGCTATTCAATGGCTGCAGGAAGCCACAGAGAGAGAACAAAAAGTTACACTCACAGAAAACAGCATGGGTTTTTTTTTCCCCCAACAATACTGGAGTTAAATTTATTATGTTAAATCCCTCAGACTCCTAAAAATGTCATCAAGATATGGCCCAATAACCTAAAAAGTTAGGTAATTAAAAAGTAAATATACAAAAAAGAATAACTATTAAAAAGCCCAAAATAACTTGGTTATAATGGCTTGCTAGTCATGTGACCAAAGCTGTAATTAAGTATTTCCTTTCCCAAGACAGGCAGCAGTTTGGCTGGCAACTATTTCAGCCTCTGTTTCTAACCTAAGAACAATTTACTAAGATGCCACATAAGGAAAGTGTCTCCACCATTCCATTTACTGATATTCACATGTAATCAGTGGTTTCCTCTGTTTGCCTCGGCACCCATTCTCAGCTTTCTAATTACAGCATTGCATCTCTTCTTAAAATACAAGTTCTGATATAAAAAAAAAAAAATCATAAAATGCTATTCAAGTCCTCATTTAGCACTACAAATATATTTACTATCCCAGGTACAACCCACTATGGTCCCTATTTCAGAGCAAAACTGGAATCATTCAGTGTACAAATAGCTCTCCATTTACCTTAGTCACTCAGACAGCACATCAGTTTTAGAAAGGGCAGATGCTGGTAAAAGAATAGAAACTTTTTCCTTATGCAGAACTGCAACATCCCCAAGCCCTGACATAGCATGATGCAGCTATTGTGCAGATGACAACTCTTGCTGCTTTGTATTTCAAGTTTCTATTACCAGCTCATCTGGAGTATTCTC